AGTGTCCGAGATTGTTAGCGGTCGGATAAGTTTTGCCATGAATGATATAAAGCAGAGAGGAGCCGTGATCCTTCACTGAATCGCAAACTTCACTGGGTAGCCGTCGTAAGCAAGAAAAAAACCAAATTTCATAATCGGTCCCCATCAGTGCACTTATCCGTCTTGTATATAATAATTGTGAAGTCAAAAACTTCTAGTGTTGTGGCGGTGTAAGGAAAGAGCACGACTATTGGTCAAAGCTAGAACCGAACCATTTTTTTGCAGGCGGACGGCAATGCCGTGCAAGAGCTGTTACCAGCGGTCAAGCTCCTTTATGAATCTGGAAAACAACTCCCAGCCGAAGATGTGAACGCTCACTGGAATGCCATTAAGAATAAACTGAACGCCAAGGTGAGCCTATGGCTTTCCCATTTAGAAATCACCAAAGTGTTCGAAAAGATGGAAGAAAATAAGCAACACTTCATCGCAGATGCAAGAAATCCGCATCGCCAGGCAACTTGCTACTCAACTGCCTCAAACAGGAGCTGCTCTGCACGACTTGCTGGGAAAAGAGCTGTACTGTAGAGTGAGTTATTCGTTCTCTTTATTTCAAGTGCTACGTCTGCAGGATCCTACCCAAAAGTCTGGCACAGTTTCCTTAGCATGCTTAGAATGAACTATGGGGTACGCAGAATTAAATGCTTGTTAATCTTAAAGACACAGTTCACGATAGATTTGAGAAACCCGAATTTTCGTCGAAAAGCGGAAGTTCAGGTTGGGAAAAATTCAACAATTCGTTAGTAAAAAAAGCAAGTTCGCCGATTTCGAGAAGAATAAATTTTCTTAAAAGTAGTGAAAATGGACCTTGTACGAGATTACCACGACGGAAATAACATGGAAGTGGTTCCCGGACGAGATTTCAGTCATTGCAATTGCGCAAAGAGCTGACTATCTCAAGCCAGAACTGTACAGGACTGTCTTCCACTGTGGCTTTGAGTCAATGACAAGTTGTTTAAACTTCCTAATGGATTACCTCGTGGTTGGTCCAGCCTCTAACGCCGATTCGCGCACTTCCTTCGCCTTCATCGCATTATTTTCCACCTTACCTTCCATTTTTCGTCATAATCTGGATTACCCAAAATCATAGTGAACTCTGCCCTTAAGTATCGCGAGAGTACAGGATGCCGTTGTGTATACCCTTTACTGATTTGAAGGAGGTCTTTGACGCCATTGAGACAGAAGCGGTGAAAGTACTGAGCAACAAGGAATTTCCTACTCAAAATATGAGGATGCTTGGTGCGCTTTACAGGAGCTTCACAACCAGGATTTAGCCATTCTAGATGAAGTCATTAGCAACGAAGAGAGGGTTGGGCAAGGCGACCCTATCTTGTCCAAACTTTTCAGTACCACATTCGAAAACATCGTGAGCCTCCTGGAATGAGAAAGCCTGAGAGTAGAGGCCCACGGCCGCTACTCACATCTTCTTCGCTTTGCAGGCGATATCGTTCATAACCCAGAAGTTCGAGCAGGCGGAACGAATGCTCGGTCGTGTTCGACAACATTTGCGGAAAAATCGGCTAAAGACTGAACATATTGAAGAGGACGTTCGTGAGGGACGGATTAGTACCTGGTGCTTCCTTTACGCTCGAGGGAATCGATGATCATCGGGACGACAGGTGATAAGGCTGAAGATTGAGAAAAACTGACAAGCAGCCAAGCAGGCAGACAAAGATAACCTGTATCACTCTGGCTCGTAACAAAAAGGAATGGGGACGGTACCGTCTCCAGTCTCACTAAACTGATGATCAAGGGGAGGATAGGTGACACAGGTTATTTCTGCTCTTGCATTGGTGTGTCTGGGTGCGCATATCTTCGACCGGAAATTAATAACTCCTGTCCCTTTCATCTACACAGATAGTCCAGATTCGGAAGGGATACAAAAACAGAACGTGAATACTTATTGCAGGTTATAGGAACCGATAGATTGGATGGAAGGGAACATAACACGTAATAAGGACTGATAAGGAGTTGTAGAAGGCAAGAGCTTCTGAGTTGGCCGCACATCTAGGGTTAATACTAGAAACTTGACATTTCATAGGATGACGTAAGATTCGCCGTGATCATGAATGATTCATGACAAGGACTAACAGCAACGAAAAAAGCTGATAATAGGCGTTGAATTGCTGGAGTTATTAGATCACTTTCCCTTTCGTATGGCAGTGGAGCCGTCCTACATTAATGTGAGACGTAGGGTGTGACTGGATCGCAAGTGACGACGTAGGGAAAATGACCCATGAAAGCCTGTACCATATGAGGATGATTGCTTTTGGATTTGTTAGCAATAAATCCAGTTTTCCTAACACAAGGGAAGCATCGCCACATGCTAGATTGTTTTATCTATGTATGTAGAGCCTCCACCTCCCTTTAGAACCGTGTATTATACTTGTAGTAATTCCACTCAATTCCTCTAAAGAATTGTGATCAGAAGTGTATCGTTTTTTCTGAAGACAGGAGCGGGGGGTCAGTTGGGCATGCTGCCTGGCACAGAAGAAGTTGAGGTCCCTGTAAGCCAGACAATACCATTGGTATTCAATGTGTTCTAACATACTGATTGATAATTTGATTACAGGACCAACGCAGCCGCGCTGTTTCACGTGCAATTCCATTGGCTGAAGCAGAACGAACGATTCAGCAGTCTATAGAGGCTATTTCTGCTGACACTGGTGACTTCACGGTGAGTGCAGACGTCGAAGAGTTGATGCGCACAATGCTTTTACATTACTTCATTGCGCATTACATGATTAGCTGAGTTTTGCTCTTGTCTCAAGACCATGGAAAAGGGAATTCGGGAAGGTTTCACAAGCTTGTTCTCCTAAATTTGAGTGGTAAACGGTGCCGGCCCTATTTTGCCGGTTAGACGCTATCTGTCCAGTCCTTCAATTCTGCCTATATGTCGCGAAAGTTTAGCATTCGAACTAGGGAAATAAAGAGGCTAAAAATCCAGCAAGAAGAATGGAGCTATCAGGATAGAATGAGTCCAGTTTGTCATAGTACAAACAAGCAAGAATTCCTACATCGGCCTTATTCTTCTTGTAGATCTGTATAGTGAAGGGAGCAAAGTTCCTATTTCTAAAACAATTAAAAGTTTTTGGTGTTTCCTGGGCTTATTTTTAGGGATAAACATTCAGTACCATCATCCCCTTCATTTTCGATTGACGCTACCACCATCACGCTACCGATACGATACCATATACACAATTCTCTGATGAGACCCGCTTCACTCATTAGCTGTAATTGTTCATTCTAGAATAAACTTTCGAATGTGGCCAACGACGAGGCAGCTTTGGATGAGAAAATCGAACGAAAAAAGAGAGAATACGAGCAAATGCAGAAACGCTTCGTGAAACTTCAAGTTTGTTTAATCATTAAGTGTTGAATCCGGAATCGGCCTTGTAACGAGATATCCTAATGATTTCAGTCATTTCGACCTCAATACATGGATGAATACGAAAAGCTTGAAGCGAAGCTCAAACAACTCTACGAGGTTCCCCAGTCTGCCATTAGGCAACCATTTTCCGTCTCCTTCGTTGAAAGATTCCTATTCAGGTGTATGTGGTGAAATTTCGGAACTTGGCGTACCTCCAGCAGTTGCAGCTCGAAATAGAGAGAACTGACCGACAGAAGCAGGTATCAGCAACATGGCATACTACGGTGGTATAAAATAAATTACTGAGAAGTTTGAACATTTTCAATTTAGGAGGAATCGGAACGGACAATGAGGCAAGTGGTGGAGAAGATGCGCATGGATCTGAACAACCAGTTAGTTAAAGTTACTTTGCTTTGCTGAAACGACTATACTCGATCCATCGATAGCTTACGAAGTGCATCCTCAGTCAGCTAATCTCATTCAGGGACGAACCAATAGAAGAGGAAGTGCCACCCATCAACCAAGCCAGGCGAAATTGTAAGTTAGGCCACATATATCACAGATACTGTCGTATTTAAAGAGTTACTTCAATAAAAGTTCGATTTAAGCAACACGTAAGGTCTACGGAAACATGACGGGGGCTGGAATGTCGGACGACGACGATGATAATGGCGAAACCGGTGCAGGCGTCGTGCATACGGACAGCGATGAAGAACAGCACAAGTCGGTAAGTCACACAACAGCCCTGAAAACCTGGTAATCTATCAGGAATTCGATTGATTGTGACGTGTTTACGTCTATTTCAGCCTCTCAATGACGATCCAGAAAAACTTGACCTCAGCAGCGGTGACGACTTTTGATGGATGGATATATGAAAGCGGGCTCTACGACCCTCCGATTTGTTTCCCTCTCTTGGATTCTGTTAGAGTGTAACATGCTGATAAATGATAATTGGTGTACTGCTCCACGTACCTATCAAGCATGATAAGTGTTTTCCCCATACGCTCAAATAGGATTTCATCACATGGAAGAATGGACGCAAGATTCCTCATCCTACATACATATGTAAGGACAAGACTTTGCAATCGTAATCGTTACGTTGCGATGGTTTGATACAACAGAAACGTCTCACTCATCTAATTCGTCAATGGTAAATTTCACCTGTCACTTCCTTTGTCAACTACTTGTCAGTAAAATAACTTCCTTCCTTTCAATAGACTCATCTGTTCTTCACTTTCTTAGCCAACTGCTCTTGTAGTGACTCACTTGTGCTCACTCAATCCTGTCGGAAGGATGCGAATGTGTTGAGTGGACCGTGTACATATGTACATCAGTTGAAGGGTTTAATCACAAAAAATTTAGGGTTAGATTGACAACGCATGGTAACCCCTTCTTTTGCCTGTGGTCCACAATATTATCTATTTCTGCACATTCTCAAGGGGAGGTTACAGGTCCAGAATCAAGCCCCACTTTGCACCACGATACGCGAAACGGCGTTCTGGAAAGGTGGATAACGTGCGTTCTACCAAGTACATAGAAAAAGCGTTTTAGCTCATCGAGTAAATCTCCTTTCTTAAATGAAAGAGAGCGCCGAACAACCTTTGCTGCATGAACTTCCACTTTCCCAGAAGTCAAGTGTTGGCTCAGCTCACAATCTGCTAATTTAGAGATACATTTGAAGCAGTTTGAAGGAAATAAGCGTTACTCTCTTGGATAGAAATTCAAGTTATCTGAGCATTGGTAGTAAAGATGGAAAACCCAGTTACGTGCCATTGTTTACTCATATGTTGATTGCCCAGAACTCCACGAGGTTATAACCCTTACTACTGTATTCGCATTGTTTACCCAAAATATTTAACGTTTCGGATTTTTGTCGAAGGAAGTTCTTGCCATTCTAATACATTGTATAGTAAGGAATACAGCAGGTAGAAATACATTACAGATTACAACTGGCGGTTATACTTCCGTGTGTTGAACCTATCGAGGAGTACGTGGTGGTTCTTAGATTCGACAGCATAACAAGGATTGAAAGTAGCTAGTCAAACTGAAGCTTAAAATAGCACACCGCGTGTCCTGCATTTGAGAGGCTACCCATCTAATTGTACAAATATCTATATTCAGTTGTATAACAGATGTGATACCGCTAGGTCACGTATCCGATATTGTCTCAAGATGTCCTCAACGAGAGTGTTAATCATGAGAGACGAGGTGCTGGAGACATGAACTCGGTCAACATTTTTGCTTTATGAAATTAGTGGTTTAAAGCAGTGAATGAAACGTTCTTACAATTTATTAGATGGAAATTCAGGCAGAATTCTAAAGCCGATTTTCTTTACTCATCCCATACCCAGACACAGCACAATTTATCGCAAAAGAAAAGCGTTCATAAATAAAAACCAAGGAGTAATAGCGAACAATCGATCTTGGAGTATGCTACTTTGTTGCAAGTGGGATAGAAATGGGCTTGTGGATTCGTAAGTTGTGGGTTCGAAGAATGAACAGCGAAATAATAACGTATGAGGGACAGCCTGAGCTTAACTGCTGTAAAGCAATTTTTTAATAGCAACTGTACACACCAACTGGCTGTGGTGCCCTTGATCCAAGGAATGCTAAGAAAATGTCGGTACGCCGCAGCAGGGCTATTACAACATTCTATGTGAGCTCTAGAAACCTTAGCAAATTGCCCGCGCCGATTATGTATACGAAAAGCAACACCAGACAATGATAAACATCTAAAGAACTGTAGAAGAAAAGGAAACGCAGTATGGGGACTACGCTACGCAGTTATAGACCTAGTGGCGGAAATTTAAATGTTAGAAAGTACAACAAAACACGACCCGTGCACCATGGGTCTACCACGCACGGTAAGACTTTCCGTGACCAGAGCTACATCATCCCTTTTCACACTTTTGTTGCCGCCGAAGTAGTACATTGCAGTGGAAGAGGAGTTAGGCGGGACTCGATGTAGAGATTGTTACTTGGCAAGTAGCTCATCTGGCCCCCCCCCCCNTTGAGAAAAACTGACAAGCAGCCAAGCAGGCAGACAAACAGGCAACTAGAGAGACACGAAGATGATAACCTGTATCACTCTGGCTCGTAACAAAAAGGAATNTTCTCTCCCCTATAGGTGTCCCAAGTGTGATTGGCTTACATTTGGTGGTACCGTGCAGTTTCGAACTAAATAATCGGAGTTAAAAAATCGATGTGTTCATCGAACCCAGTTACACGACTGCTCACTCTTTTTCAAATTCTGCTCTTATGTCTTATGTTCTCATTCCTGTTCTCTTCATGTTCTCTTCATGTTTCTTCTCTTATTCTCTTCATGTTCTCATTTTGCTGTCCTACACAATCATTTAACTTTATTTTCTAAGCGGACCAAATTGTACTTTTTATATGTACCATGTTCTTTGTTTTAAGCGCTGGTGCTGTATTTGGCTCAACTCCATCTTCGCCTCCAGTTTCTCTTGCCTTTAAATCGCTTCGTACTCCACTTTTCTGTTGCCTACCAAACAAATATTATTCTACAAAGAGAAGCGAGAGGAATGCCTTATCGATGAGGCTATTTTCACTAGATCATACTTGATCCACTTAGCATACTCGCAGCGGCTCAACGAAATGCTGATGTTCCACCTTGGACTGAGCATCCACAAGGGAAACTAGGGCGTTCTCTGTAAAGTGCAAATGCGTCAGTTGCTGGAGAACCAAACAACTGCTAGAAGAACAAACAGCGTACTTTTAAACCAACATGTTATTGTGGGTTTACCGGCCTATGAGAGTGTAGGGGTTTCTATTCGCCCGCGAGCTAGTTGTTCTGGTAGTGAAGCTGGCAGAGGGAAACCAACCAACTTTCAGGTACAAATGCCGCCGTGCCCCCATACTACTGCACCAATTTACAAGCAAGTCACTAACAGTCATTCTACGGCCTATTCAAATGAATTCAAAAGCCCTGCGAGAGCAGTCGACAAGGCAAATGGCCAAAACCCTTGAATTTTCGACATGAGACTCGAAGTTTGCACTGGAAGAATGAGCATGCAGTCAGCGCCATCAAAAGCGCTATGGAAAAAACAAGTTCCCACGCACACGATCAATGCGACTACATGAGGGTATCCAAAATTCAAAATCCTTTAGCGAATGAAGAGCAGAAACCTTACAGTACTTCTCAAGAAATTCGGAGATCAGGTGTGTTTGATAAAGGGATTTTATCATGGCCACCAGACTAGAGCTTCGTGGGTTACGCTGTTAGGTAATTTACCAAGTTGCATAGTTGCATACATACATGTGTCCACAGTGCCAAGATCGATTTTCGAGTCATTCCATGTTTCTGCCAAGTGCATGCAGCGTAGGACCAGTCGGACAAGCATTCTCCTGGAACTCAGTGTTTCTTGAATCAGCACTCTTTGTTTGATCTGCATGCTCGTATCGTGGCATGTGCTGATTCGGGAGTGTAAAGAGGTCGAAGGGTGGAGACTGCCAAGGGTTTCTAATGAAGTTGAAGCGGAAATATGGAGGTGTTATTTCTTGGGAGTGGGCGTTGGTCGAGGTATTGGAAGATGAGCGTCTAGCATGAAGGGCCAAAAACATTCACCACTGCCGAGCTCAGTAAGAGAAAAGGTCTGGACGTAGTGACCAGAGGTTGCAGAATTCTGCGTAATCTTAGAGAAAAAAGCAAGCAAGCACATTTAGAAGGAGCACCAGAAGATAGGTCAGTGGAATACGCCCGAATTCTCCTGGATAATTTGAGCGACTGGCCAGCACATGTCCGATTAATTTGAGCACTTCGCAGAGTAGAATCCACTGGAACCTACGAATAGCTAAGGCAGCTAGGAACAGTCAAAGATAGTGCCGGGAGCCAACAGAAAGAGCTCACTGTCCTGGAGAACTAGGTACACAGACTATCAAAGTGGCAGGGGACAAAAACCAACTGATTTCGCGGTAGGGAAATCGATGAATTTCGACTGTATGGGAGTAAAAGGCAAGTGCCTCCTCCCAAAAATAGAATCAGTCTACTCAACCCTGATCATCCAGAGCGAGAAACCGACAGTCAAAAGGAGAAAGGCAAAAAGTGTTACCAGTGCTCAAGATTCGGACACTTCGAGAGAGAGTGCCCTGCAGCAGCAGTTACAGTGAGAAGCACAGCTCAGAGGAACGCTCAGGTTAGGGAAAGAGAAGCAAAAATGTCGAAAATGTCATCAGTTATAGAATGGTGTCGTAGCCTAGGAATGGCGAAAAGGACACAGGAATAAGTGATCTCATTGGCACTCAAATGGTATAGAAATAAACCTTCCTGAAAAGAGCTGTAAGGCATCTATAGACGGTCAGTGATCAGTATAATCCCGATAGGAGTCCAGGTGGACACAAAGAGCGTGCATTTGGGGTTGATCTCGTTCCATATTAGCTTACAAAAGAAGCCGAGGTAATTATTGGAACGAATGCATTAAGCAGACTAGGTGTGGAAGTGTCAATAAATAAAGAGTGTTAACCAATGAAAATTCAAGTAAAGCAAACAAAGAAAATCATGTCGTCGTGATGAGACGCCTTTACATATCACCACATAACGTGGGCCTGGTCCCACTCAAATGTGAAGGTGACATAGGAAACGATAACGAGAGTATTATATGGCCTAGTAAGATAGGAGTGGAACCATGAGTATATTCGATCAACGATTGAGAGACCACATTTCCAGTATTTAACACTGGCAAGGATCCACCGCTTTTGAAAGGGAGAGAAGTTTCGGACGAACCCATGTCGCAGGGTCGCAAGAGCAGGCCGCAAGAGGTGAAAGTATTTAGTCCCTCTGTGCCCGACCCACTGGTGAACCTTTTTATCGGATCTTTTTTGCTTTCCGCTTGGTCTTTATTTT